CCCCACTTTTAAATTACTTGTTACAAACAAGGCGTTGAAGCCAATTTTAAATGTTCTTTCTATGCCACAGTCATACACTTTTGAAAAAAAAAAATGCCATTGCATCATGACAAGAACTGTGAGAAAATGTCTGGGGTGTGAATATTTTGCAAAGCACTCCATCACAGACCTTGTGATTTTTTACATTTGGAAATTTCTATCTATGGCTTAAAAAAAAGTAGTTTATAAATAAAAACAACGTGACATATAACAGTTGCAGGTGTTAAAAAAGACTAATCTACATGAAACATGATAGCTAATGCATTTAAGCAAAATTCAAGATCTGGCAACGCAAAGCTTTTGCATCATTGTGTAATCTTTATCTTTAATTATTCTTTTATAAACTTCGGCGCACCTTTGGAAAGCACACTTATTGCGCAGACTGCACACAAAGAAACACAAAGAAACATCCAGCAGTTACTCACAAGACAAAGGATGTTCTGTCGTTCCCCCATCTCGAATAACCTGCTTTTTGTTAAATACAAGAAGCCACCCGGACCGAACTTTCTTATTTACAAAGCGCAGCCTACTCGTCACAGCGACCCAAGCAAGAATCACTTTGCCACTTGACCGCCAGGGGGCGCTAAGAGCAAAAGGAATGAGACAGTGGAACCGTCAGTGAGAGGGCGCACACAGAAGGGTGGGGGAACAGTCCTGTTTAATGTGCATTTGGCACGTAAAACAGCGTCATTGATAAGACTACATTACCCATGAGCCTCAGAGTCTTCCAGTGTGTTTGAAGCCACACTCTGATTAAACGTTTTTCAAAAAAAAACAAATAAATAAATAAATACTGTAAATGCTGAAATGATAGTTAATATTCAATTTATTTTACAATGTTTGTATGTATTTAAGGTTGAATATGTGTAGCATGAGCAACAGATTTTGCCTGACAAAAAAAAAAACTACACAAGTCTTTTGGTCTCTATGTACTTTAATATTAACAGGTGATATTATATTATAAAACAATATCTTCATTTTTTTTTTTGTTTATTATGATTTTTTTCATAACTCTTTCCTGCATTACCTAGCCCACAATCTCTTAATAGCAGAAACATTAAGTCACATGTATTACTCATGTTATATAAACCTATAGCTATTTTGTGAGAGCTTATATTGAAAAATAGCATTTTTTTTTGTTTTGTTTTTTTAAATTATCTATCTTGAATTTTTTTTTTTTAAGTCTTGTTATTCATCTTAGGGAGGAGTGCCAATAAATGTGATGGTTGATGTATTTTTTACTGCCAGACTAAAAATTGTGGCAGTGGAAGTTATTAAATGGCTCATTTTAATGAAATCCAGGTTTAAAGCTTCATGCCAGATCCATAGCTCAGAGAAACACAGTGTAAAATATCTCATATGCATATCATACCTTGTGCTAAACTACCTTGAAAAGCCATCAATAGACACCTTTTTTTTTTTTCGAAACAGTGTGAAATTTGTGCTAAAAGAAAAACATAAAGACATAGATGACTAATGGCGGTTGGAATTATTAATTTTGATTGGTTGAATGGGTTAAAGAGGTGTTACTTTTAGTATCTTGAAATAGGCTAATATACTGACCTGAAGCAGCTGTTGGCAAAAATGATATCTTAGAACGTCCAGTGATTGGGGAGTATTATCCAAACATTTCTCAGACTACATCATCAGAAGAATTGACAGGTGGATGGGTGAGATAGCGTGGGAGCGTGGGGTGTATGATCCAGAGACAAACATAAAATGACTACTTATTTTATTGCACAATAAACCATATTCTCCCCCAGATTCATGAAAAAAAAAAACAATGAAAGCTGTGTCTAAAATACGACCGAGTAAAAACGCTTCTTTGGCTAACAACACGACATAATAAGTTTTAAATGAGACAGATAGCAGCTTAATCACATTCTGTCACCTACTGACTCCCCGATTTCTTTTCTAGTGACATTTCTCTGTTTTTCAAATCAACAGATGAAGAAAATAATGACAAATTCCTTGATCAAATAGCCTCCATCACAGGCTTATCCAATCCGGTTATTTGGGGAATTATAAAAATCTTTTTTTAATCATCATTCTAATTTGACAATATTAAAAAAATGCAATAAAAAAGGAACAACAAAGGAAGGAAATATTTTCAGATATCTTATAAAGCCATACCCAAAGGCAAACTGAACAACAAAGCATAGTCGGCTTAAATGAAGTGCAGTAAGCCATGTTAGCCAATGAGAATCAGGATTAGTGTCACATTTAACTCTAATAGGGTTGGGGGAGAGCGATCATACCTGTTGTCATAATATTAAAGGAACACATAGAGGTCAGGGACACTGTACACAGTGCTGGGAATAGGTGCAAATGATATCAACACAAATCACACACAAGTTTTTACTTCCTAAGGTCTGTATAAGCTTCTATACACAACACCACAGATGTATATTTTTGGCAAAATTTGTTGTGTTCATTGTCCTTATCTTACAATGTCAACATTGATATGGTGGGGCGAAGACAAAGAATCTGTTTCTGGATATTTGATAAGCCACTGAAATTATTTCAACCACTATACTGTTTTTTAAAGAAAGAATGGATTTGAAGAATGGCTAATCAGTGATAATATCCCTGTCTTAAGGTGCAAGCACCCAAATCTGCCTCAACACACCATATCTTCAATGTAACCACACATACAGGACTGCATAAAAATTAGGTACACACGAGCTGATTTAAAACAATGGCCAAACCTTTATTTTACACCTGCAAACTACCTGCAATGTATTTTGAAAACATTCAATTCTCAACACAAATTCCAGATTGTAAGGTGGTGTTGTTGAAACCCTGCAAGCGTAGCCTCATGCCATGCAAATGCAAAGTCTCTGGTGGGAAGAAATATGTGCCTGAGGGACTGCAGCCAAGGATCAGGTCATGCTGCTGCTCTGTGAGAAATAAGAGTTGAAGCTTTCTTCATATAAACCAGATGTCTCTGCTTTCTATCTCAGCTCAGGCTACAGACATACAAAGGGAGTGTGAAAGGAAAAAAAAAAACAGTGATACTCAACTTAGAAGAGGATATCTTCACTGGTTTGCAAACCATGATATTATGGCAGCAACAAGGACATTGTATGATTAGCCCAGAATCAAATATGCAAAAATCATACACAAGAGGTGCAGCATTAGTTTCTGAATATGACTCCACCAGATGGAAGTGAACAAGCCAAATGAAGTCACTCTTGTAACAAAAGTATTGCAGCATTGGGGCCATAACTGGGTGGAGGTGCAGCAGTGTAATGTGAAAAAGGGAAAATACAGGGACCCTATTTGTTATTGTCGTGGTCTCTTGGATACTGCTGTCCCTTAGTAAAGAACTTGACTATATCCCCACCCACAAAAATGTGACTTTGATTACGGACTTGGAGGAAGGTTTTACATACAAAGGCATTGGCTTACCGTGATTGTAAGCTGACAGCATAGCTACAGAATGTGGGTACTGAGGAAGGACCTGAGTCCCTCTGTTTTCAGTTGAATCTGTAACAAGCAGCTGGGCTACTCTTCAGAACAAATATTCGTTAATTCGATTTGTTTACATTTTAATCAACAGATAAAAAGCTGCATAAATATCACAAATGCACATTCTCCAAAGTCATAGGTATCTGTTCTACTTAACTTTTTTTCAAAGCTTCATTTAGATTCTGAGAAAAATAAAAAGTTCTTGCTGTGGACTTACTGTTGAGAACTACAGGGGACAGATACTTGGCAATTATTGCAAGGCTATTACTGTGTCAGGTCAGTGATATATTCCCAATATAATAAACAAACAGTGTTGCCATGGGGAAAATTTAGGCACAACAGTGCAGATTGCCTCCAATATTTAGTGCTCTGTTTTATTTAGTAATGTGATAGCTTCCAGTGCACTTTCTGCAAAGCAGCTGCTTTGCAGAAAGTAAAGCAGCTGTAGTAATTTTGCTCTCTCCAAACAAGTTCAGAGCTGCTCTGGTTTGTATGATGTGAGATCTGAAAGTAGTTATGCAAGGTGATTAGCGGGGATGTGCACAAATGATCAATGACTGGAATATCTCTTGCACGTCTACAAGCTTAAAATGCTGCCTTTATTTGCAAAAACCTGATTTGATCTAAAAATTTCCATTATTCAGGCTTTCTGCTTCTAGAGAATATGATCTGTCACCCATTTTCAGGTCTTTTTAAGCTTCTTTTAGGTCTTGTTAAAGTTTCAACAGTTAACTCAAAACCTGATCGCCAGTCCTTGCTGAGCCAGTGCAATCCCCCAGCACTGTTCTAACACCACTATGCTTCATCAAGTCTTTTTCTCAGCTTTTATCCACACATTGCATTTACGTTTTAGCAGTTAGAAGACATCTGAAGTCAGTTGTTTGCACAAGGAACTTGTAACCTGAAACTGATGCACCGTTAGGTACCATAAATCTGAGTTTATTTTTGTGTTGCAAGTTCTAACATCAACATTTACCTCATCTCTGCACATTCCTTCAGGAAAATAACTTTTAAATAACCTCCTTGTTTTTTCAGTTAAATGTGCTACATTATAGCCTCTCATTCTCTGCAAATTCAACTTGCATAACATAGAATAAACGGTATGAAATGGGATAAGATTAATTATTTGCAGTGACGCAACAAGCTGTAAAACATGTGGGTCCACAAACATAAGCAAACCTGTCCAGTTAGTCCGAGACTTGATGATGTTGCAACAGCAATGTGACTGATTAGTTTGGGGAGGGTTTTTTTGTGCAACTTGCAAAGAGCATTTTTAAATAATAATAATAATAATAATGTATGTAATACAAAATATATGAGAAAATGTGTTTTATCCCTTGTAAGGGAAATCCATTCATTTCTCGATTTTAAATGACTGCAGATGCAACAAGTTCACAATGAAATGGGGAATAAAAGTTGAATTTTAAAGTTTGGAAAAATTAACGCCCTCTAATATTATCTGAGATAAATAAATGTTGCTGACCACTAACCTTATACGGAGCCTCCTCAGATTCGGTACCACAGTGCCGCAATAAAGTTGAATCCAAACTCCTGGTCTGCCTCAGTTTCTTCTTGGAAATGCTTTTAGGGCTTAACGAGCAAGAGAAAACACTGCTTAACAGTCCTTGTGCGGCCATATCTCTCTCAGCTCGTCATGTAACATTTGATAGAGATCCTCAAACGCATAATCCGAACGCCTGAGATAAACCGTTTCCCGATCGGATCCAGCTCTAGGAGCGCCTCTGCCAGTATTATGAAATACGCGCCCGTGCTCTCAGATCATCTCCTCCGCCTCCTAGCGATGTGACTCAGAGCTTCCTGCTTCCAACATTTCAATGATGCTTCTAAGAAATATGTCAGTTTCCCCCCAAACAGTATGACAAACTCAGCGGGATTAAGGGCAACTTTGTTTATATTGGATCTGTGTGATTCAGCCTAATTGATTTAGACTGATCGCAGGGTTAAAAGTAGTTGAAACTGTATTTATTTTTCTTCTTTTTTTTAATTATCATTTATTTATTTATTTACGTATTTATTTATTTACGTATTTATTTATTTATTATTTTATTTTATAAATTTTTTATTTAATAATAATAATAAAAAATAGTTGGAGTACACATTTAGACTTTCCAACATGGCGTTGGAAAATTCGATTTATGGAGTTTATAAAAAAATCTGTAGATATGTTTAGGCCTTTTCGTAAAAAAGGGTGTATAACCCAGAACACAAATCTCATTATAATCCAATTTATTTTAAGCCAAATTCAAAATGTCAACAAAAAGATAACTTACATTAAATTTAAATGTCTCCATATGATTTTTTCATTGGTCAAAGGGTAAAAATGCTATCTAAGCATATCAGGATCATGGAGATGCACCGATCCAGGTTTTTCCCATCCAGTCCGATGCCGGTATCACATATCGGCCAATTTGACATTAACATTATTTTAAAAACGAACAAATTAACTCAGACATGAAACATAATACGCAAGGATGAGCTAAAGGCTGCTATCGAAGCATCCTGGGCCTCCATAACACCTCAGCAGTGCCACAGGCTGATTGCCTCCATGCTACGCTGCATTGAAGCTGTCATTTCTGCAAAAGGATTCCCCACCAAGTATTGAAGGCATAAATGTACATAATTATTTGAAGGTTGACTTTTTTTTTTTGTATTAAGAACACTTTTCTTTTATTGGACGGATGAAACATGCTAATTTTGTGAGATAGGAATTTTGGGTTTTCATGAGCTGTAGCATATCATCCATATTAAGACAACAAAAGACCTGAAATATTTCAGTTAGAGTGAAATGAATCAAAAATATATGAATGTTCAAGTTTTATCATTATATTATGAAAAATAATGAACTTTATCACAATATGCTAATATTTTGAGAAGGACCTGTAAGTGCTGCATGATGGCGAAATTAGTGTTACAATCAGAAACTTAGTATTGGACAACTTTTATTGTCATTTAGTATACATAGATTGTATACAAAACGAAATTTAGTTTTGTACAGCTCTCATGAAATTTCCATTTTTTAAAGTGCAGCAGTGATCAAATGTAAACACTGTGATAGAAAATTAAATATGTATGGTGCAATTGTGCAGTGTTTTGGTTTGGTGTTGTCAGTTTGATGCAGACATGATTTAGAGTTTTTTTCCACATTAAGCTGTCTGATGGCGGTGGGGAAGAAGCTGTTTTGGAATCTGCACAACCTGCATCGGATGCTAAGAGGTCTCTTCCCTGAAGGCGGCAAGGAGAGCAGTCCATGGTGGGAGTGTGAAGGGTCATTGATGATGTTACAGGCTCGGGACATGCAGAGCTGGGATGCAATGTGTTTTGTGGAGCGCTGTTCTCACCACTCTTCTCACCTTTTTCCAATCTACAGCCTCCACACCACACAGTGGGAAAGCTGGTCAGAACACACTCTATGGTGCTTCTGTAGATGGTGGTGAGGATGGGTGGGGGCAGGTGGACTCTCCTCATCCTCCGCAGGAAGTACAAGCGTTTTTGTGCCCTTTTTACCCAAGAATATTGAAGTCGCTAGGTCACTTTAAGCGTAAGCATCATTCATCAGATATCCAATCCAGCTAATTAGTCAGTATCGGAGCCCATATCAGATTCAAGTACCTTATTAGCTCAGATTAATTTCAATTTATTATAAATAACATAACTGATAGCAATATACCAAATTTATTAAGCAGTCCAGTTTCCTTTTCTGCACCCAAAGTAAAATCAACAGTTGATAGAAGATCTTTGTCAGCATAAAGTGGGAGTAGTTGATCTCAAAAAGCTACACTTATCCCTCCCTCTGAAGGAATTCAAAACAAATGAGGAACACAGTCACTAACGTTATTCTGTGAAGTCTTGTAAATTATTACGTTAATTTACAAGGCTCTAATGAATGTTCACAAGAGCAGACTATAAATGTCCCTTTAGGAGTGCATCGTCAACTCCTCCAGGAGGTTAAAAAAGAACCAAGAAAACTGTAAGCATGGTTCATCAATAAGCTCAGCTCATGCAAGATTGTCAGGGTAAAACCCATTGCAAACCAAAAATAACTCATGGGCCCATTTAATGTTACTATTCAAACATCTTGATGATCCCCAAGACATTTGAGAAAAATAGTTTAGGACTAATTCCGACAATAACCAACAACTAGTCCATTAGCTTAAGCTCAGGTGCACTTGGGCTATGCAGCAGAGCCAAAATGTTATTCACACCAAGTTTTAAAGTGACATGGTCAAATTCTGGACCTAAATCCAGAAGAGATTTTGTGGCATAGCTTTAACTGGCAGTTCTTTCCTGAGAACTCTCCAATACGGTTAAATTACGGTAAAACAAAAAGGAGTGTACCAAAATAATTTCAAAGTTAGAAGTAACCAATGCCAGTTATCACAAACGCTCAATAGCAGTTGTTGCTGACCAGGGTTCAGTAGTGTAGACAAGTGTTAGGGCAACCGCTTTTTTACATTAATTATTTCAAATTGCTTCTTTTTTTTACCATAAAAACTAAAATCAGTTGAAAAAACATATTTTTTTCTCAGGTTAACTTTGACTGACTGTCTAAAAGATTTAGGCTTGCAAAAAAATACACGTGTTAATGTGTGGGGGGTACTTTTTCAACCCATTGTAAACATTTATTATTCTCCTCAGTAATGATTAAACTGCAAAAACTGATTACCTCCACTATCCTGCACTTAGCAAAGTTCAACTTGTTTAATTCTTAGATTTAGAGTACCACGACCAGAAATGTAACGTAAATGTATACATCAGCGGCGTTCTCTCAGCCAATGTGTATTATTTCTTCACTGTGAGTTAACTGAGATACATGGCATGCCATGCCCTCTGAAAGGACCCTTCCTGTGGGAGCCCTGGGGAAGAGACCAGTGTGATAACACGACATGTGAACCAGCACTGTATAGCCTCGATAAGGATTTATCAGATACAGAGAGTCCACTAAACAGACAGGGGAAGTGGTGATAAGTGGGCGGCTTTACGTTTGATCTGCTTATTTGGTGCTGAAGGAGTTTGGGTAAAGACTCCCGGAAGGCTCCCATCAGACATCCCGTTATATAATTTCTCAAAGGGATAGGTGCAGCAAGACAAATGTTAGCTTAAGTAGAAAACCCAGGGGATGATGACTTGTAGACTACCTTGCAAAGTTTACTGTGGTTTGTTCCCAACATATCTTTCCATGCATAAAACCGAAAGATGCTTCAGTAGATTGTTGATAAATATGAACAGACAGGGAAGTGTAATGAACAATTTGGCAGAAGTACACTGCTTTGCACCTTCTCAGTTGGACTTAGGTGACGACTTCACAGGGTACAGTACCTTTAAGGCCTGAATGTCTTACTTAGCTCCATTCAGTTTTCCATTAACTCTCACCAAGTTCTCTGCTAGATAGAGGAAAAAAACAGCATGGTACCACCACACATCATGCTACAGGAAATATATATTCAGTGTGATGTGCAGTTAGTTTTTTTTATAAGACAAGGGGGTCAGCTTTTTATTTTTATTTTTATTTTATTTCAGTCCCATTGGTACATAACATTGTCTTCCAAACTCTCAGGTGTTCATACTAAGATTACAATAGATTGCACACAGTTGAACTCTGTTTACTGATTAAGGGAAAATCACACAGTTTCTATTTTTCTAAAGACTTCCTTAAAGGATATAGAAACAAATACGCATTTTGCTTTATTTTGGTCAGTCAAATAACTCCAATCACATAAACAATTTTTTGGGGAAAAGTAATGGCATATTCAAAAATCTAAGCTTTTTAGCTTTTTGAGGCAATGCTTTTAATAGGCAATTTCCCACCCCAAACTAGCACATGGCTCAAATTACTGGATTGTTACAAATTGGCTAATTTCTACTGTTTAAAAGAATTATATTTAAGTAAACTCTCCAAGGGGCTCTTGAGGTGAAACTTATATGTCAGGTCCAGCATTTATTGGGTGATCAATAAAAACACATGAGGATTATTTTTGCCTTGATATTATATGAATCATCATAGAGAAGAAACAGAACTTTGGAAGTGAATGCTATGGAAAGACCACTAGATGGCAATACTCAACTGACATAGCGTGGGCTTGTTTATTTGGTGTGTTATGTTTTTTTTTATTTAATTTTTTGTGGTTTTGGTGTTCTGCTACCTTTCTCCAGCTTTCATTGGAGGAGTGGTGCAGAGAACAGTGGAATAATTATGGGTTTTATCACCGGAAAATTAATCCATCAACTTCTGAATTCCTTGTTTGCAGGGCTTGTGTTAACTTGTCCTCAGGATTCTTGTTCTCAGAAAAAACTGAAATAGCACCATGTCTACTCTGAACTTTAGTTGTTTTATAGAAGAGAAAAGGCCATGAGCCAAAAATTCTTTTGGTCCGTTCTAGTTTTGATAGTCGTGACATTTTTGATATGTTCTCATTTTACACTCCACAAACTCCAATGTCATTGACAGCCCCAAAGTAATGTGTAACTGAAAACGAAAACATTGTTTTACATTCATACTCTTTCGACTTTAATATGAACATTTTTAATAAGATCCATTTGGATCCATTTGCCTTCAAAAAGTGACCAACTATATATAAAGCACTGCTCAGTTCATCATACCTGAATGGGAAAAGTGTGGCCAACTTACCAAAACATCTTTATCATTCTAAGTTGACAGGATAGATAACTGTAGAATTAATCAGATGACCTGTCAAGAAGCACCATTACATCATTGAGGTCCATAGACGCTCTGCTCAGGTAGAAAAACTATTAACCAGCGG